TCAGAGGCAGTGGCCTGCAGAGGTCAGAGGCAGTGGCCTGCAGAGGTGCCTCTAGAGTCTTGCAGGCTTGTGTAGGTGACAAAGACTGGGCAGTACTTTTTGGTTCACTTGGCAGTTCCCACGCCCCTTATTGGGCATGTCCTAATGTCTGCACATCCATGTGAGCAGCCTAGCTTCACTGGGTGAGGACTGAGGAAGGGTGAGTGGGGCAGCCTTCTGCTTAACATTAGGACTAGATGGGGAGACAATACTCAGACAAGTGCAGAGCAGTCAGAAAAAGCAAGGGGAACAAACACGTGGTTTTCTAAAATAGGGTTTTTGAGCATCAGGTGCAAGCTAGCAGAAGAAAGCAAACTCTGAAGATGCGGGAGACTGGGAGGAGCCTCCAGAGGGGCTTCCAGTTCTGTGGGTCGTGGTATGTCAGCAGTGTGGTCCCTGCTGGGCTTGGGGCCTGGAGTTCAGGGACATTTTGGCTTCACAGCCTGGGATACAAGCAAACACAGGCTCCCGAGCTCAGGTGAAGGCTCTGGCCTGACTCAGCAGTTCTGGGCTGCATCTGTGACCAAAGCTGGAGACAATGCTAGTCTGCGTAGGCCAGGGCAGGGCGCTGAAAGGCAGGGCCGCATTAGGCAGACCTGGGGCCAGGCCAGGATGCCCACACAGCCCGCCCCCCATGGAACCCTTTGGTGGGCGGGCTGCAGCAGTGTGGGTTAAAGCAGTTAGATTCTTGGCCAGTGGGCAGTTTTGTGACTGGCTGACTGGTCCTGTATGTCTCTGTTGTCTCGGACTTGCTCAGCAGTCCAGGGGCTTCTCCAGAGCATCCATTACTCCAGCTTCAGCTTCTTATTTTGAATTAGCTACATCATACTGCAGCTTCGTTTATCTAATAGCAGTAATGTAGGATGTCCCCTTACATTATCTAGTAAATTGTTTAAAAGTTTAAGTAAGCATTTCTCTTAAATGCTGGGAGGCTGAGTGTGAGTGTTTCAACTGGTGGGATTGTAGTGTGGACTCATTCCCAAGGTCATGCAGTGTGCTTCTCTCTCCACAGTGGTGAGACCGCTTTCAAAAACATGACAATTCCTTATGGGTGGGCGAAACGGCCAATGCTTCAGCGGATAGGAGACCTGCATCCTGACATTCCAGTTTCTGTGATCTTTGGCGCCCGATCCTGCATAGATGGCAACTCTGGTACCAGCATCCAGTCACTGCGTCCGAAGTCCTATGTGAAGACAATAGTGAGTATGGAGCCATTGTTTCCCATTCACAGTGAAGTGACTGATTAGCTCCCCTGAGTTCCCCTCTGGACCAGATGTCACAGGGATGTGGGTGGCTCTGAGCCAGGCACACTTTTATGTCCCATAGTGAATCACCTTTCTGAGGACCTTCCCAGACTCTGTGGAGACACTGAATGACTGGTTCCGTGTCATCCGCTGAGTGTCTTTGTGTTAGCACTTGTGTGGTGGAGTTACTAAGACTCAGGAGATTTTCCTGTTTATCCCAAAGCCTCCAGATGGAAATCCTCAGTAGTCCGCGGAGGAGTCTCCCTTATCTTTTTAAGACTCAGGCTCTTGTTTCTGAGCACTGTTGCTTACCCACCACTGTGTCTCCCTCCCTGGTCACGCCTCTGCCTCTCTCCCTCCCCAGGCTATCCTGGGGGCCGGCCATTACGTGTACGCAGATCAGCCGGAAGAGTTCAACCAGAAAGTCAGGGAGATCTGCCGCTTGGTAGACTGAGCCCCGGGGCTGGGGAGCCCCGGAGCTGGGGGAGCCCCTGTGACTGACGCCCCTCGAGCAAACCCTGCACCCACGGGAGAGCAGAAGTACGACTCAACCAGGCCGTCCCTCGGTGGACTCTGCACTGTTGTCTTATGGAATCACTTCCACATTTCAGCCAATGAGTGCCTTCTAGAAGGACGGCTTTCCTTTCTCCTACACAAAATGGAAGTACACAAAGTCTTCCAATTTAATCGTAGCCTTAAATAAAGGTTATTTGTCCTTCTGATGTACTGAAAAAATGTGGTTTTTCAGCTGAGACTTTTCTCATTTTTAACCTAACTTTGCTAATTAGGTGCTTATCATATTGCAGTCTATATGCCAATTTAGGTGACTTCTGGTTTGTTACATTAAATACTGTGATGTGCACTTTATCTTGTTTGCATGTATTTACCGTCTCTAAGAACTGGCATCGTTAATCCAAGTGTTTTTAAGTAAAAACTTTTCGATTTAGAATACTTCAGTTTTGAAATGGAGTTTAGAATATTTCATTTTGAAATGGAATAAAAGGATAAGTTTTGATTAAAAACATGGGGGTCGATTGCTAGCGTTAACTTCTGTTTTCCTATTGGATGCTTCAGGCTGCAAAGCTGTGGCCAGCATGTTCGTGTGCTCCATGGTGACACAGGCTGCGGCAGCACAGTTCCTTGGGACCTTCCGTGTGTGATCTAGGTCCAGGGCTCTATGAAAACATTACATACACACTCAGTGATTCGAGTCCTGAGACACTTGACCCCAAAGTCTGTCCCCTTTCCTCCCACACATGCTGGTCTTTTCCAGGACCCAGGATACAGCGGATGGACAGGGTTCCTCAGTTACAGGGATATCAGGGCTGATGTCCCAGTAAACCAAGGCGTACTGTGTTTTCATGAACAGCTTACTTAGACGGTGCTTAAACTGAATTACAATTTTACCACTAACATCTAAAATAGGTGGTGCTGTTATGTCTCCTGGCACCAGAAATGAGCTAGAACTTGTGTTTATTTTTTATTGACTATTATGTTAATCTAATTTATATACTTGAATCAAGATTATAAAAATCTGTAATGTTGTTTGAACTGTTTGGCAGAAATCACCGTTGAATTTATAACTTTCTCACAGTTTTAAAGCGACAGAAGCCATGAAAAAGCTCCGCGTGGTCGCTGGACACTAGGGAAGCCCCGAGTGCAGAGAACACAGGATTGTCACCAGCCCTGTTTGTCCAGCAGAAACTCAGGTCCCAAACTAAGGACCGGACAAGCACAAATCACAGCTTGGTAATTTGGGCTATTGCATTTTTAGTAGCTAATTAGAAAAGTTTTTGGAAAATATAAGATTATATCACAGTTAATTAACCACCAGAAAGATTAACTGTTCCATTGTCAACGCTCGTACGTAGAGGAGAATTATACCAGAGCAGGAGAAGCAGCTCCCTCTTTTCCTGATGGTGAAAGGAACTAGTTAGTACAAGAAGCCAACATGAGACCAGAAGGTTTACTCTCCACCTTGAGAGTGAAAATAGCCTTTCCTTTGTAGTTCGAGTTTTGGATGGCCAAATTCAACCTCAAGGGTGGTATAAGATCAGGGCAGTACGTTTGTCTGACGCTCCCCAGTCTCAGTCTCTGCTAGCTGACAGAGAAAGTTTCTACACGAGACACAGGTCCACCCAAACGTCAAGGGAAGCTGACCTTCCCACTGGCTGCTTTGCTTTATTGGAAACATGTCATGATGCTTCTCAAAAGCTAAACTTCTCTTTGTAAATGTAATTTTGTAAAGATTGAAGTAGAGACATTTATAATAACGGAGAGTTCTTGAGAATTCAGTGGTTGCTAATGTTTTTCTTATGAAAGGCCTCTTAACTCTATTTGATCTTTGCTGAGTTATTTGTACCTTTGCCTTATTTTACAGAATAAACTGACAATGCGAGCACCTGTGGGGAGCTGTGTGTTTTCCTGACTCTTTGGCGTGGGCCCATCTGTTAGAATGGTTACGATAGGACCAAGATCCAGCGAGTGTCCCATCAACACTGTGGTTCTGAGGACTGGCTGCTCTGTGCCGTGCCGGTTTTGTGGCCACCATACCCAGCTTCACCCATGTCCACCCATGTCCATGCAGGTCCTTGAAATAAGTTCCTGCTCCCTTCATTGTAGAGGTCACTACACAACGTAGAACTCTGTCTTTGATTAAACAGCCATGCCAGGTCCCAGCCGCACACTTGCAGCAAGTACAGGAGATAAGAGCCCCAGAGGGGAGCAGTGGAGAAGGGAGGGGACAGCTGCACACAGCGAGCCCGCATCTCTCTGATGGGGACACACTTAGAGCGGCACAAGTGTGGGCAGTCACGTGGAAATTACAACAGCCTGTTCCTCTTGTGCACGGGGATAAAGTCGGGATGAATCAATGACCCAACTGGAAGAGTAATAGCTTCTGAGCACTGTAAAATTCAAAGCCTGGAACCAAACGCGGGCAGTTCAGCCATAACACAACCATTGTATTAATTTCCCCATTGCTGAGACAAAATGTGGGAGGGAAGCTGTTGGGAGAAGAAGAAATGATCTCATCTTGGCTTTGTAGTGGGCAAGGCATGTCAGAATTCAGGGTGGTGGGGCGGCAGGCTGCTTGTTCTTATCTCACTGGCCAATCAGGAAGCTCAGGCAGGGCTTGAGCTGGCTCTCATCCCGAAGCCTTGGTCCTCCATCTTCCACTACGGCCAAAAGCTTGCGTGACCTTCTATACCAGCTGAGGACCAAGCCATATCTACATCAGTTACAGCCCCCACCTGGGGGCCAGGCCCACATCTACATCGGTAACAGCCATGCATGGGACTGTTACACAATCTTATGAATGAGGTTGATGTATAAGTGGCTATACAGAAAATTCTAAAACATCAAACTTTGAAAGCCAGGAAAAAATGCAGACTATCCCATGTATATGTATGCAGGCACATATTTTTGTGTGCCTGCATACAGAATAGTGTGTGTCTGAAGTTTCTTAAAGTTATGCTCAACACACATATGCTCATAGATATGTAGAGACAGTTTTTGGGAGAGGAATGTGTACTTAAGTTTGTTAACAGCGGTTAGCTTTGAAGAGGGACGCTTCTGTTTATATAGATATATAAACTTTGGAGCCTTGTACATCCGTTATGTTTTAATAAAAGCCACACGAAATACAGGGAAGAAATCTTGGTTGCTATAAATTACCTAAGAAAGCAACTACAGGATTTTACTGGCTGTGCTGATTTCTGTGTGGCCGTGCAGATCCACATTTGGGCCAAGGGTCGGATTCAATGTGTGGAAGGCTGTATGCCAGTTATTAACACTTGAGCTGTGAAGTCATAACTTGGAAGCGCAAAAAACTTTGTGGTTTTGAAACAGGATCTTGCTGTGTCACCCAGGCTAGCCTCAAACTCATGATTACTCTGCCTCCCAAACGTCGGAACTGCAAGCATGTGCTCACCTGACCCACTTTCCTGTTTATTTGTTGGAAAGTTCCTGGCACTGGGACGCGCGTTTATTTATTCAGCAGGGGCTGTGGTTCACTTTAAGTGAGTAGAGTGTTTCCCTAATGAGGGCTTGATCTCCGGCACTGATGGCACCTGCCAGTAATCCCGCATGCCACGTGGGAGCCGGTGGAAGGACGGTCAGAAATTCGGGGTTGTTCTTAGCTGTAGAGTAAGTCTGAGATCAGCCAAGGCTGTGAGACTGCGTCTCAGAAAATAAAAAGCCTCATTTCTCTACTCATTCCATGTTTGCTATCATCTCTCTCATGCTTTTTTTCCCCTAAAAATTATCCTTAAAAGTTTTTTAAAATGTTATATTAATTCAGAACTGGTTGAATTTATTTGCCTGGTTACAGGCAATGGTCTGGCTTTATGGTCACTTTGAATTTTAAATTTGAGAGCTAAGCTAATTAAGAACTTCCTTATTGATTTTTTTCTAAGTGATTTAGGCAAGTTTTATTACAACACATTTTTAATCCTTAAAGACTCGTGCATTCACTCAGGGCTTAAAGTGTTTCCATGAAGCCAGACAGTGGTGGCACATGCCTTTAATCCCAGCACTTGAGAGGCAGAGGTAGGTGGATCTCTGTGAGTTCAGGGCCAACCTGGTCTACAATGAGAGTTCCTGGAAAGCCAGGGCTACACAGAGAAACCCTGTGTCAAAAAACACAAAACGACAACAAAAAATGTTTCCATGGAGTGCCTGTTAATTGAAGGTTTAGAATAAATCAGGCCTTCCTTTTCTCTTTCTTTATACTGCATTCAGTTAAGAAGGAAGAGTCCCTTGGCTCCCATTGTCTGATCCTGGACTTTGTGGAGATGGGTGTGAAAAGCCAACGGAGAGGCCTGTTTTCTTCCATGGTAGAGTTAAGAAGGCATTAGTCACGGCAGGGTGGGGATTGTGCTCTACACAGACCACCGCGATTTACAGCTTATCTTGAGCTTGTTTGCCAGTTTAGACATCACAGCAACAAAAACAACTGGGTGTAGAGTCTAGGATGCCAGACGCGGTCGGACCCCAGTGATGATAAGTCTCTGTTTTCCCTGAGGCAATACCTGGTTGGTTGCAGGAAGGGACGCAAGTGGAGATTACCCAGGCACCACCCAGGAACAGACCATCCAAAGGAAATGCCTAAGCATTCCAATCGTGGTAGATAGGATCACCTGCCAGCACACATCCGCCAGGACACCTCTAGACAAATGTCAGCAAATCAGGGGTCCTGAACCATAGAAATCCCTCACCCCCAACTTTACTACTATAAAAACCCAACCCTAACTGGGCTCGGGGTCTCCGATCATTCCGTTGGACACACAGAGAGTCCGAGTTTGCAAACTTGTGTAGAATAAAGGCTCTTTGCTTTTACACATGGGACTCGTTCTCCTTATTGGTTTTTGGAGGACTTCACAGACACCAATGACTAAAGGAATTTCCCTCCCTGGTACTAACCTGCTTAACGTGTTTCTGCTGACTATAAAATCCCAGCAGATCTTCCACAGATACCTGTTCACATGATGGTGCTGGGTTTTTGTTGTTGTTTTGGTGGGGTCGGGGGCACTGAGGCTAGGGCACGTGGAGAGTGAAGAAGAGAAGCAAGGACAACATGAAGGGCTGCATTCCGATGAGATAACCAGTAGGGAGGTGGGGGAGCGAGGGGACTGGACGTGGACAACACGACCATCTGCCCTCTGTGGAGCCCCTCCCATTTCACAGTGTTTCAGTGGCAGCTGATACCAGAGTCTCTCATTCTCATTCATAAGCCTGCCTCAGCGGAAGTCTGAGCACCACATGGGACTATGCCTACCTTCAGAGCAACCTAAGTGCAAACTCGGGCACCTAAGAGCCCTCACGGCTGTCTGGTACAGACACAGTGTCAAGGGCTAGCTACTTATAAAAGAGTTTTCACTCTGAAGGTAGTGGACAAGGCCTGCATTTTCACAGGCCCCTCCCCCAGGTCATGGGACATGGGCATGCTCAAATGTCTCTCCGTTCATTTGATCAAACTCAAAAACTACGGGTGCTGAGACAGCATGCTCATCCTTAGCCCAGTACCCCACAGAGACAGGCAGAAATCACACTGAGACTCTGGGACATCCCTCTTCCTCTCCTCTCATGATGCCCCCTTCATTTTACAAGGGTCATGAGATGCCCTTTGGCTCTCGAAGTCAGAGGGTTGCTGTTTTATTTCCCAGAGAGTAGGTTTCCTCCTCACTTTCTGGAGCAGTGGATAAAAGACATAAAATTTCCCGTTTCTAGTCCAAGTGTTGGCCCTTTCCCAAAGCTCCTTGCTTGTCCTTTCCTTCTCCAGCCCTCACTTCCTGACCCTGTTATAGGTGAGTGGTTTGGCCCCAGTAGGCTCTCACTTCACCGTATTGGAGGATGAACTTCTGAGCCACCCTTCCCTTGTGTTCCAGAAGACCTGGCTTAGACAACTCACGATGCTGAAGGACAGACAGGCTTGCACCATTTCTGCCCTCCCCTCTGCCAGCCTGCTAGGACACATCTGGCAAGTTCTGGCTACTCCAATTGTGCTCTGGGTTTGGAATTAAGAACTAGCCACACAGCGGGAGCAGCGTAGTTTTATCGCTGCTTTAGAGAACGGGCTTCTGTCTAAGGGTGGCTCGCAGTCCACATTCTGTCTGGAAGCCATCATTTCTGCTTCATTCATACATTTGGGCCTGTTGGCTCCACTAGTTGGGAGCCTCCAGAGGCTGTGGCATACCATTGAACTTTTGCCTCTGGGGTTCTGCTCACCTTAGCATGGTGCTTCTGAGGTCAGAGCTACTGTTATCTGATAGTCCTTATGCTGTGGATTGAGCTATGCAAATCAAAGCAAATGGTTAAGATTTTGGGAAGTGCCAAATTCTTGTCAACTGGGGAAATTCGGAAGCTTTTGGACAACTTTGGATCACAAAGCACCTCAATGTGCTGTTTGACTCAAAAGCCCAGAGGGTCAACTAGAATCGATGTACAAGCCAGGAAATCAGCAATGTTGACAGATGAATGTTTTTCAAACTTCTGCATTGCTGATGGAAACAAAATTAAGACATAAAATTAAAGGGACGTGGAAATTGGATAAAGGTCACTCACCCCAGAATCTGGAAGGTGGTCTACATTTCCAATTGAACCAGAATTTCTACACAGCAACAAATCAAGACTGGCAGAGACCTCAGAATTGTGTTAAGCCAACGGGTCATGTTTGGCTGAGACTGGAACAGATGTAACCTTTGAGTTTATCAGGATCAATAGCCTCTCTGCCCCTACCCCTGAACAGCGTGCCTCACAGAACATTTACAGGAGAAAGTTCTTTGAGAGAAATAGTAAGCCAGCTCACATATTTTTATTTACTATTTAAACTTTGCTTAGTCTTTGAACGGGTTGTAAACTATGCACCCTCTGAGCCCTGTGCCTTTATAAGACACAAATCTCAC